CTTGAGCTGCCTTCGAATAAACTCATCATTTAAACGAAAAAGAAAGAAAATTCCATTTGCTCTCTCTGGAATTTTGCAAAAATTATATTATAATAGTTTGAAATCAGTATAAAAAAAAAAAAAAAAAAAAAAAAAAAACAATAATAGAAAATGCACACAGCCACACAAAAGCAAACACTTTTCATCATAATTTCAGTTTTCAAATTTTCACGAAGGGCGAAATTGATTATCGTCGTTAAGCGAATATCTCATTATTTAAAGATTCAGTCGCTATTTTTCAAAACGCATTCAATTATTCGCTAAAATTTACGAATGCATTGTCATATCTTGCTATTCCGCTTCAATGAAAAGTGATGCTTTTCGCGTTTTTTTCTTTTCTTTTCTTTTCCTTTTTTCCTTCTTTCTTAAGGCTTTAACACACATAAAAAAAAAAAAAAAAAAGAATGGATTGATATTTTTCAAAGCTCTCGCAACGCTTCAAATTGGAATAGGAACTGATCTTAGCCTCTTAGCCTGCACATATACACATATGTATAGGCATGCATGCATGCATACATCAATAAAAAAAATGGAAATAAATTGATTCAATATAATGTTCATTGCACTTTTAAAGTCATAGTTAATCAATGGCGCGCAAATAGGCGCAACTAATATATGCTTGAAAGAATGTGTAAAAGCTTGTAAAGGTGGATGTTATTCTCAATGTTGATGTCATCGTCTAATTATTTCGATTTTATCTTCACGCACACTTGTACATACACAGCCTAAGCTGAAGCTAACAAACAGACAAAAGCATTTCATAGTCGAACAACTACCGACTACCGATTATTACTTATGTACGTGTATGCCTGACTGTTCAGACGATTATAAACTAATATCTAAGGTTGCGATATAATATAAGCGAGCACGGGCTGAAGTAGTAGTCATCATCATCCTATACAATACGTATACATAGACTTAGTTACCATAATCTTTAGCTGTAAGCAAAGTTCAATATACATATCTTGTTATTGTTGACGATGTTGACTTTGAAAGACAATAGAGAGAGAGAGAGAGAGAGAGAGAGAGAGAGAGAGAGAGAGAGAGA